TTCAAGAATGGAATCTATAAGGTTGTCCTTAAGGCAATGCTTTACAGATTTCTTGTCACTGAGTGAAAAAAATGCCAGAAAACAATGTCAACAAACCCCCAAAAGGGAAACTATTGATATTATAGGTGTTCTGATCTTGTCTTCTTAATGGCACCATCAGGTATATATCATGCATATCTGAGCCATTTTTAAGTCATAGAATATGACTTAAAAATTTACTTACGAGTAGCCTTTGTTGTTGTTGATTTTTTTGTTTGTTTACAAATGAGTCATGCAGTAGTTCTGAGCATGGTGGGTGACGTGTAGTCTGAATTTAGGTGACTGCAATGCTGTCATGGGACAAAGCTCAGGCAGGAGAACTAACCTAAAGCTTTGGAAAAATTAGATGTACGTGGATACTTTATTCTGGATAATGGTAAAGCAACAAACAACTAAGTGCTTCTAGATAGCTTTTCCTTTTTTCTTTTTTTTTTTTTTGCCAAAGATGTGTCCATATTCTTAAAGTCATGTTTAACAGCATTGGAAGCTCACTTGATATGTGTAACTGTAAAATCCAGGAAAGCAGAATTAAAGAGGAAAATTAATTATGGAACATAGGGACCAACTCCTTCAGGATGATTTTACCATTTGTTATGTTAAACTGGGCAAATGCAACAGTAAAACATTAATGAGGTAATTTATACTTTGTTACAATGTTCATGTGCACATATGTATTTAGAAATTTGTGTAAGTGTAGATATACATCTCTCAGCCCCTGGACATTGGCGTGTCTGTATATAATAGATATATATTTTCTAGCCCTTTTTTGCATGATAATGCTACTCAAAATATCTTCTAATATATCTGCTAAGTTATGAATGTACTATATCAATGACTCTCATGGAATATTTAATCTGTTTTAACAGACCAAAATAATTTGAATGTTTGTCTGAGAGAAAAATCAAGTGTATATTAAAACTTGCATTTCCAATTGCTAATCAAAACTGTAATTGGTCCCAAAGGCTGTTGAAGTGAATATAAGTTTGGGGTTTTTTCCCCAAATTTACTTTTGAGTCTGACCTGTATGGACTCTACACTTTGGCATGAAATATCTATTTGTGCTAACAAGGTAAGGGAAGGTAAAACCAGCTTGGCTCAGAGTCATAGGATTTTGATTTTCAGAAGTAAAATGTAATGTTAATAACCTGGTGCAGGACAACTAGAGGTGAAAACTTGAAATTATTTATTGTGTAGAATAAAATTGTCCTCACTGTCAGTCCATAAGTTCATAAGTAAGTTGTATTTCGTGCTAACAAAATTTGAAAAAAAATCCAACAAACATCACTATGTCTCCATGAGCAAGTTGATTCCTTACAGCAGTTTCCAGTTAAAAGTACACATTCCCTGGCTGAGGCTTGCAGTATTTGCAAGTAGTCTGACTCTAGCCACTCTCTTGTTAAGAATGACATGATTTTAAATTTTGTTTAAAAATCAATTCTTAAATTTACTGTATCCTTTCAATTTTAATGATACTATTACTTCTGTTAACTAAAAATAGTCATTCCAACATACACAATTATATAAACAGCAGCAGGTCAAACCTGTTTTGTGTTTCTATACACACAAAATTTCTATGTTGTTGTATGTTTTGTATATGATACATATACCTGTGTTCATGTGTGTTATATTTTAAATTAATGCAGTATTTTCATAGCGTTTATTTTTGTATGCAGCAAAGTTATGCTATGTTAACTAAAACTGGTTATCTAATTAAAGTGATCTCAAATTCGAAGTCAAGTTTTCTGGATAATACTTATGAATATCTTGGTCTTAAATATAGAGAAATGTTTTCCCTATAGCAACTGTTCCACATTGATAATCAATATAGTGGAAGGAAGAACATAGGCACCAAAACACCCCCAGAAAACTTTCTGCTGGAGTTTTTTGATATTTGTTTGCAGTTGTGTGTTTTGGGTTTGGCCAACAACCAATCTCTGACCAACAGCTACTCTGGAAGAAAAAAAAAACCAACATTTTTTCTGTTGAACATGATGTATGGCATGAACTCTCTTCTGGCCAGTTTGAGCCAGCTGTGTTCCCTCTAAAATGCTTGCCCAACCCCAGCCTACTCGGTGGCAGAGGCCAACTAAGGAACTGAGAAAGTTTTGAACAATGCAAGAACTACTTCTCAATAGCGAGAACTTCAGTGTTACTCTGTTTTAGCCAGTAGGGCTCCTATGAAGAAAATGAACTCCATCTCAGACAGACCCAGTTCAGCCCTCTTCTTTTCTTACCCACCATGGGTATGTGCAATGATAATTTCTTCTTAGCAGCATTTCCTTATAAATTATTTTCTCTAAAATAGTAATATTTCCTATCTATTTCATATCTAGAAATATATTTTAAATGTTGTCTTTATCTTTGAATGATTTTTTTTCTTTTAAAGTTCATTCTCTAATAGACTGACCAGAATAATGCTCCACCTGAATGCATGTAGAAAACATGTTCTCCTCCAGGCTGAACAGACCAAGTGACCCCAGCTGCTCCTCATTCAGCTTCCACTCAGGGCTCTTCACCATCTTTGTTGCTGTCCTTTGGACACTCTCCAATAGCTTTGTTTTTTTCTTGTGTGGTGATGCCCAAAACAGCACACAGCATGCCCAGCTGGCAATGTCCCCCAGAACACATGTGGCCCTCCTGGCTGCCAGGGCACCCTGACTCATGTTCACTTTGCCCTTGGCTAGGAACCCCGGCTTCCTTTCCACAGGGCTGCTTTCCACCATCTCCTTCCCCTATCTGTACATACACCCAGCATTGCCCAGTCCCTGGTGCAGAATCCAGCTCTTTTCCCTGTTAAATTTCATGTGGTTGGTGATTGCCCAGCCCTCTAATTGATCGAGGTCTCTCTGCAGGGCTTCCCTGCCTTTGAGGAGTCAACAACTCCTCCCAGTTTTGTTCCATTTCCAAGCTTGCTTAGTATCCTCTCCTTAGCTTCGCAAGCTCCTCCTTCTGAGGACCTTGTTTTATGCTTTAAGGTGTGCCGTGCACATGCAACAGCTTAGAGTTTCTGCTAATTAGTTTTCTCCTGCAATTCTTCATAAGTTAGATAAAAGTGCAAAGGTATTATAGTGCAGATGTAATACAACTCTATTTATTTGAAAAACTACAACTGATTTTTCTTTAAGTTCTTAATTTCTGTGGAGGGAAAAAAATCCAATTCAATTTTCACCCCCAAGATTTTTCTTTCCTTTTTTCATCTACATCTGCTTACTAGTGATATACCAACTCCTGATTGAGAAAAGATTGTATATATGTGAACTTAAATTTAAGCAGGTACAGAAAGTCAAAAGATATTAAAGCATGTGTTTAGAGCTAACGCTGAACTGAACTGAGTCAGCAAGATCCTAAATAGTGATATTCCCATGTTACTGGTGAGAGGTCACATCACTTCTTATATGTCCTTTGTGAATTTTAATTATGAGGTTTGTTGATTCAAAAGGACTTAGTATTCACAAACCATATAGTCTATACTACATGAACAACCCTGCCTTTGGCACTTTTGATATTCTGGATGTTCTGCTATGGTGTATTTGCTGCCCTGTTATAGCAGTGACCTCAAATAAACAACACACATCTCAAATGACATTATCTTTTCTCAGTTCTTCAGTGTTTCCTCACCTCAAAATCTCACTCTGATCATCTGTAGCTCTTTCTATGGCGCACAAAAGTGAAATAAGCACTTACTAAGCAGTAGTCACTGTTGCAAAATGCACTCACAGCATCGAATAGAGGGCTTCAAGCCATCTATTGTGGTGTAAATTCACAAATGAGATGTTGTAGGGCAGATGTGGTCTGTGAAGTATTTTATGTAGCATCACAGGTAAATTTTCTTTTCAGTCTCCCACATGTAGAAGACAGTGGCATTGCAAATTTAGTTGTGACTGATTTATCAGGCTTGCTCCTCACAAGCATTCACTCTGGCGATATGTGGCCATCACTGCAACTTCTGGAGGAAAAAATAAATATCACAAACTCCCTCTCATGACACTTCTGAAGATCACAAACAGGAGGATGATTTCTGAAACATTAAAAAGAGGTTGATACAGAGCGTTGTCGGAGATCTTTTTCATATGGCTTATAAACCAAGCTAGAATGCAAATCTCACTGGTGTGGTAGAAATTCTCTTTTGCCATTAGTTACAGACAGCAGGCTCATAGTGGGATGTGCTGAGACCACATTTTTGCACATGCATAGTATTGTTTCCTTCATACACCAAAAAAATGGAACAACAATTCTGGCTATTTTTTTTCAAAGAAGTGTACTGGAAAACAATTACTAGTATGCTGTTCCTAAGTTGGTTCTATTTTGAAGGCTTTGCCAGCTCTGTAATTGCTCTCAGACTAATCAATTATACAAATTTTCTTTTTACAAATTAGAGCAAACGGCTTACCCAATTTCCTGATTATTGTGCTTTTATGTTTTCTTAAAGCTTTTAGATTAATTAATTCTTAGAGGAACATAATTTTACAAGTAATTTTTCAGTGAATGTTTTCTGGAAAACAGTCATTAATCATTGCAATGTATGACCTCAATCACACCCTGTCTCTTTCTTATGCTTTTCTATTAATCAGTAATTAAGTTTGCCTTTTATTATGGCCTGCATTTAAGAGGCTAACTTAGTTACTTGTGCCTGTTGTTTGCAAATAAATAAAATACTTAGGAACTTCTTATGGTACCTTTCTCCAAAGGTGGTAAATGGCAGAAATAAATGAAGGAGACTTGAGGATATGATCTCTGATTAATTAGTTGTGTGGGAGATTATGTTTTAGGCATAATGTTCTTCCTGTGTCAGCATCGACACATGAGGACCATGCTATGCTCTGCATCAGCCTGCAAATTTTAGTGTCAGACTGCCGCTGTAGGGTGGTTGGTGAGCTTCCCCCGAGTCCTTAATGAGTTCAGCATTCAAACCCACTTTGTTCATCAGCCTGAAAACTGCTTATTTCTCTTTAACATTACAGTTTAAAATATGGAATTGTTATGGAATTAAAGGAAATATGAGATACTTTGAAAACATGCACAGATATATGGATATAAGTAAGTTTGTAAATAGACGAAATATTGTCTATTTTTCTGGGTTGGGAGAAATTACTGGCAGGCTCTTCCAGACTTTGTGTGACCTTGAGAAAGTCCCTTAAGGTATCTCCTCTCAGCTTCCTTAATTTTTAATTGAGAGACTGATACACCCCTGCCTTACATTATGTATAAGTTGCATCTTCTTTTGCAATGTATTTTAAGGACTTCTGGGTTAATAGGTTTGATTGGACAGGAAAAGTAACTAGCATCTTCTGTCTTGCATTCTCACTGAAACTCTTTCAATGTCAGGATAAAACTGAAATATAGTAGAATAATACAGAACAGATAATTTGTCACAGACCATCTATTTGTTCTACATTTCCAGTTTTGTTTTAGCTTAGAAGTAAAAAAAGAATAATGTGTGTTTTTTCCTAGCTACAGAGGAATGGGAAATTTTTTGGTAGTGCAATTTTTAAATAAAACCAAAACTATTAAAGAGTATAGCTTTTCAAAAAAGTTAATGAAAAAATACTGTATTTTAACAAATCTAAAGAACATTGCAGAAAAAAAAAATCTAAGAAATGAATGTGAAACCTCTCTCAGTGACATGCTTTTATTTTGATTCAAAATGAATGTGTGGAATTTTGGCCACTCTCTTCTATGAAGGCTGAGCAACTTAAACAGTTGTAACTTTAGTCAAAGTAGCTCACATTTCAGCTCTTCGACTGTGATGGCCTTGCTAAGGTATTTCCTACAGTCACAGGTACTTCTAGCTTAGGTACAGTGGGAGTGATTTGTTTCTGAAATATTTTCATGGAAAACAGTTGTGGTCAGTAGAGTTTTTAGAGTTTCTGTTGTGCATGTTGTTCATTCATAGGTTCCCAGATAAAATAAATCTTGCTGGAAGAAATATATTTCTTTCTGGTATAACATCCAGGTGTCTCATAAAAATGGAAGTAGTTGTGAATATTGTTATTCCCCCAGTGGATTTCATCTTGTATGAAACTCAGCAGCCATGACCTCACATGCATATCACTGCATGACGTTTCAAGAGGTCATTATGATGTTGGACACAGGGTGTTTCATGAAAGTGACATCAGCAAGCATGAAATATTATTACTGTTATAACAAAGCAATATGGTGTCACTTCTAGAACTGAAATGTGAGGTTTTGAATGAGCTGTTTCAGTAACCGGATAAAATTCTTTAACCTAGTAAATAAAATTAAGCTGTTTACTATGGGTATGAACCTTACCTATGGGTATGAAGCTCTTATGGCATCTTTATTATAGTACACTTTTACAAATATGTAATTAAACTGAGAAGACCAGTTCAGGGGTTAAAAATAACTAAACCAGTTACTATGGATTTTTGATCAAGTGACAAGCATAGATATCTCAGGCTAGGGATCAAAGTTGTTTCCTAAAAAAGTGAAAACATTTCCCATGTTTGTTCATTTGGGCTGGGATATAAAGTGTTATATTGAGAGCTCAAAATTTTGGAATAGAAATAAGCATACAGTACTGTTGGATGGAGGCTGGTGTGAGACACAAAGCAATCTTCACTTGTTTGAGCTACTTATTGCTGTCATGATATGATTGTATCATATTGCACCTCTGAAACTGGACTTATTTTTCAATGGCTGAAACATCTTCTGTGATATTCATTTAGGTATGTTTTAGAAAACAAACTTGTTAGCACAGAAAACAGCTGACTGAAATGAATCCAGAGGGTTCTTCCTGAACTAGGTGTTACACATGTTATGTTCATTAATACATATTCAGTACTCATCAGTCTTAATTCTAAATTGTATTTTAAGCTTTACAGCATTGTAAATATACTAATGAGATTGATGAATGTGTTTCAAGCTGCAGGGAATCTGAATCATAAAGTGGAACTACAAAGATGCGTTCTTGTTTCTGGACCCACGTTATTGTCCATAATAAATTAATTCCTGTTGTATTACACATTTTATATTTTCATTACAGTAAACCGAAGTGTCTGTAGTCATGGAATAGCTCCAGAAAGCTTCAAATATTTTTAGTTTTAGAGTTTTGTATCCTCTTTGCCATTGAAGATGCCAGATCATTCTGGAGGAGGGAGTGAAAGATAAATAATTTAGTAATGAAACTATAGACAGAAAAACAACCTGCTGCCTCCCTCGTTTATTACATTTTTCCTGCAACACATACTGTTTATGGAGTTATGTGAGTGAAAACATGAAGTATGAATCCTCTCTCATTGTCCATCAGTTTTGTCTCATAATTCTCTTGGCTTAGAGTATTCTTTCCTTTTAGATAATTGCATTTCTGTTGTTGAATGGCATGGGTGGCCATTTTATCTCAGGCATGACTGTACTCCCTTATTTCTGTAATGTTCTGTTCTTTCTTTAAGATTTTTTTATTATTGGTTATTGCTCAGATAGTTTCATTATTTTTGTCAAAATATGTTTACATTTAGGTCTCAGAACCATGCATAATTTTGTGTTATTTTTGTAATGTAACTTTCAGTGGCATAATTTGATGGGACTTTCATTGTTTATGCTGTTTCATAGGTTAGGTGGGGCTGAAATGCTATGGAGGCATGTGTCCTTCAATCAGGTTAGTAAATGTAAAGAAAATATTTGGTACATTTAATATACTTGTAAATGGAAGTTAAATCTTTGAGAAAGCTGGGAAAAAAAAAAAGAGAGGATACACATGGAATGTTAGAGGAGATTGCACGTAGAAATATGCTTGAAAGGGTCTTCCTCCTTAAGTTCCATTTTCTCATCCCTTTGTGACTCAGTAAAACAGGATCTTCACTTTTCCAGTCCTACGCAGGAATTTGCTTCCTGAAGTGAAAATACAATTGAGCTGCAAATGCCGAGTGCCTTGAAGGCACTCAGGAGGACACACCTGTATGCTCGGGCTGTGTTCACTCCTGCTTTCCTCAGCATCTGCAGCTGTGAACAACAGGTTTCAGGTTTAGATAGGACTTTAGAAAGGAAGTTCTTTGGAAATAATTTGAAACATCTTGATGCTCTGGGTTTTTAAAATTAAGCTTGCTGTTTGACTGTCAAAAGAGATATGACAGTGCTCACATTTGGAATGTTGAAAATCCTCATCCGTTTCTTCTGACTAATGGCTTCTATATATAATTCAAGAAGCCTTAGCATGAAAATGCCACAAAAAATCCATAAGAACGTAGAAACAAAAGCTCTTTTAATTAATTAGAAATGCTTTCTGAATTTGCAGAAAGCTTTCCCTTGGGGACCTTCCAAATATGCATAAAACTCTAGAATACACAGACTAAAACCTCACAAGAAATCTAGTTTTTTTCTGTAGACTCAGTGTCGCACAAAAGAGAGCTCTGAAAGAGTTAGACTGTTCACAAATTATTTTGGCAGCAAGCTTTCTTAATGTCTTCCCATTTCATTGGTTCACTAGCTTAAGAACATAATTTCTTGTTTTATGTTTTTGTGCTATGAAAAAGGACTAAAGATTGAAAGCATTATGATAAGTTCCCTGAGGGCTGTTGTTTCAAGAATGAAGCCTGATTTATTTTTTTTTTTCGGTTGAGGTTAGAATTTTTTTTCCCTTGTCTGAATACATGTCTGTCATCCCTGACTACAGTGATAAAAGATTTACACCTAAGTGTTGTCCACAACATTTAACTGGGGACTCTTCTCTGGGTCTGCATTTCTTTAAATCCCAGCATTGCAGTTTACTGATTAAGCGCATACTCTTGTTGAGGAATGCCTCAAAACTGTTGTTCATGCACTTCAGGCTGCACTGACCTGTACCTTGAAACAAAAAATGCAGACTTTTCTCCCACAAGTACAGTAAATAACATATGAAGGATAATGCTTTAAAAAGCCCCAGAGTGAACATTAGGGCTAAATGGGAAGAGTGTGGCCCTGCTGTCCTTAGGGCAGAGCTGTAGGTGGAGTTTCCTGTACTGAATGCCAGATGTTGCACCTGTGAAAGGTAACACTTTGATAGACCTGTGACCTTCCATAGACTGAAAGCATTGATGTCTCAGCATTTTTGAGGAAACTGAGAGCAGAGAAAGAATAAGGCACAGTAGAAGAGCAAATTGGGCTCTACAGCATATTGGCTTCCTATGCATCCCCACACCAGTCTTTCAGAAGGGTGCAGGTGTTAAACAGACATCCAAGATGTTGCTGCTGCTTTATACTGGGCATGCATTTCTGCAGCTCTAAAAGGCCTAATGGGTACCAGTTAGGAATGAGTAATTTGAGCAACAGCAAACAGTGTAGCAGTGCTTCTCCTGGGCTGAGAAACCCATGTAAAATGCCAAAGTAACAGCTATGCAGGTCTGAAATTTGGGTCTTTTTGTAGGATTATATTTTGTGCTATGTCAAAATCTCTTTAAATTATCATGTGATTGGCTTTAGCATATCCACATAGAGGAGTGAGATGATTACAAAAAAAAAAAAAAAAAAGGCAGGAGTAACTTTATACTGAAAGAGCATCTAATATGTATTTATCTCATGTTTTGTAATGACATTCTGATTGTCCTTTTACAAGAATACCTGTGGTTGTAAACAACCTATTGACACAAGAGCTTCTGCAACAGTCCATATTGTTTGAACTTTTAGAGATTAAGGCGTCATTAAACTTCTATAATCTCTTTACAAATGCTTCTTCAAAAAAACATATGGGCAAACATGACAAGTTGCTGTTTTGTGGTTCTGCCTCTTTCTTTCTGCCATGAGATAAGGAAAAGTACAAGCAAAGTCAACCAAGTATATAGTATGAAAGCCACTCAATGGATTACTTAAGTATATACCTAATTTCAAGTCTGAGTTGCATCAATATTGAATATCAATGAGGACAGAGAAATAATAACACCTGTGAAAAACTGTAAAGGTCTTCTTTCTGAGATGGTACTATCATTCATGCATGCATTATATGATACATAATCAGGCATTTTCCACTGTTTTTCTTCAGTATTTGTATTGGAATATTAGAGTTTTAAATTAATTTTTTACATTATGTCAAAGGGAGGAGCACATAT